TAAGAGAAATAAAGCTTGGAGATACTGTAGTTTTAAGGACCTCCCTTGGCTCCTTTCCCCCCTCCAAAACAGGCTCCAGATTAGTGGCTTTTTAGTTTCCTTTAACACTTGCTGTTTTAAGAATTCTTCCTTTGATGGTATTTTCCACGGCATTATACTGTATCCTTTAGATCTCTTGCTGGTCTACAGTTCTTTGGATTTACCACACTAGAGTGCCTGAAGGTGATCAATAATTTCTTTCATTAGAGATTTACATTTATTTCAAGGCAAGTCTTTGACTTTACTCTCTAAGCTCTACAGCACGAACTTGCCTAAATATCTTCTGTAGAAAAGTCCAGAGGCTGGATGGGACAGATATTAATTTGCTTCCTATCGATTTAAATTCTCCCTGTCTTCTCCAGTGCCTTAACAAGCACTACGGTTATTTAAGATGGGGTCCAATCTTCCCCCTTCCAATTTTCCAGTTACTGGTTGAAAAAGAAGAGTTGGAAGTTTGTGAGTTTGGCACGGCTTTATTTACATTTCCAAACATTTATTTTAACGAAGTGTGTTCGTGAGCACCATGGTCCTACACAGTGTCAACATTTTGTGCTTCCCCTACCATTACAACAAGAGCAACATCATAAAGCTTGTCTTGTCTTGCTTTCTACTGATGCAATTCCCAACACTTTCCCTCTCCACTATGAGTGTCAGCACAGGACACAATAAGAGTCCTCTGGATCAGCCCAAGAGTCCATCCACATTTTGTTTCTGCCTCCCTAGAAAATTTTTTGCCTGCCTGCACAATCAGCAGGTGGAAGGTAGAACTCCGTACCAGCAAAGTGTGGCTGGCATCATTGCGTAAGTGGTGGCCAAAAAGGGTCCAGTGTAGACCAATAGGACTGGCAAAGGGTAGGACTCTACGCAGTTCAGTCCCCTAGCCCAGCAGAAAGAGAGTTGCTCTGCCAATCTCCCCTAGTGTTTTATAGGCAGTCAATCTGAAAATAGCAGAAATGAGAGAGGTTCCTCTATATGAAACCTGCAATATTGTAGACAAATAGGTTCAGAGTGTGCATGTACTAAGTGCCATTTTAATTTCTTTACATTTTAAGGAAATATTTAAAACTTTTCTTTTAGGAAGAACTGGATGAAATTTGCAGGTATCGCTGCCCCTTCTGAGGGGATAGATCAGGGATTAGCAAACTTTTTCAGCAGGGGGCTGGTCCACTGTCCCTCAGACCTCGTGGGGGACCTGACTATATTTTGGAAAAAAATAATGAACAAATTCCTGTGCCCCAGAGATGCATTTTAAATAAAAGGACACATTCTACTCGTGTAAAAACATGCTGATTCCTGGACTGTCCGTGGGCCGGATTGAGAAGGCGATTGGGCCAGATCCGGCCCCTGGGCCTTAGCTGGGATAGATCTTACTAAATTTCAGAAGGATGACTGCAGTAGTTTTCCTGCAAGGATAGCATTTACAGATTTAGTGGGGGTAAAAAAAAAAGCAGTTGTTCCCCCCAGGTGTTTGGGGTGAAATTTTATCTGAAGAAAGCAGCTATGAGCAAGGTGCTGCTAGGTAAGAAACCTGCCCAATTGCAGACAACTTTGATCCACATTTTGCTCAAATCCCTCTTTCCCATTTCCCTAGTGGCATGTACGTAAGTTACATATTTACACACAGATTTGAATGCTGATTTATTCACCAGTTTTACATATGCTGCCATAGTCCAGGCAACTGCCTCTTTAAAATTTGTATATACATCCACTGAATTAATAATTCATTTGGTATTGTTCTTTCTTTTTAAAAATAAAAGCGCCTTTCACATGTTTAAAAGTTGCAAAACTGCAAGTAGAGATGACATGCTTATGAAGCCAACAGGCAGCAGCCAATCAGCACTGTGCACAGCCAACACCTGACAGTTTCCCCAGTGTTCAATGTACCAGTGAAAATTGGTTTGTACATTTTGTGAGTGCATTTCCAGAGTAGCTCTACTATTCAAACTATGTCTTGTTTGTAGGCAGCTTTTATGAACTAGACCAGCCTTTGTCAACCTGGTGCCCTCTCAATGTTCTGGACTACAATTCATTTCAGCCTCAGGGAACACAGGAGTAGTAGCCAAAATTCTCTGAAGGGCACCAGGTTAGTGAAGACTGACCAACATTTCTCCTGCCTGTCTACTTTTACAGTGAGATTTTGTACCAGCATTTTAAAATGATCGTAATTTTATTATTTTGCCATTTGGAGAGTTAACCAGGTGGAAAACAGAGATAATGTCAATTAACTTGAGTTATTTTCTTACAGGTAGAATCTGTCTGATAAATTTTCCTTTGTCATTTGAAGCCAAAGCTCTCACTTCCTTTTGCTAGCTGACATTTCCTATCATTAGTTAGTATGTATCATTACTTTAGAAATGTAGAATCTACTGTTGATACCTATGACCATTGTCATAATCCTTGATTTGAAACAATTATCTTCCTATTAGAAGAACGAACTGCAAGGCTAGGAAACCCCAGGTGATAAATGGCTAGTCTCAAATTCCTAGGCAAACATGTTCTTAAAGAATAAACCTTAAACAAAAGTAAGGGTTGTGCTAGTTACTTATTCTTCTGGCTAACTCATAAAGACCTCCGAGTATAGGGCAGTACAGTGATACCTCAGGTTACAAATGTTTTGGGTTACAAACGCTTCAGGTTACAGATTCCACTAACCCGGAAGTAGTACCTCGGGTTAAGAACTTTACCTCAGGATGAGAACAGAAATCGCGCGGCGGCAGCGGGAGACCCCATTAGTTAAAGTGGTACCTCAGGTTAAGAACCATTTCAGGTTAAGAATGGACCTCCAGAACGAATTAATTTCTTAACCCAAGGTACCACTGTATATAAATTCAATTAATCATCATCATCATCAACCTGTAAAAATGTGCAATATGTGCTGTGTCATTATTTTCAAAAATAGTTTTAAGAACATAAGAAGAGCTGCTGGACCAGGTCAATGGCCCATCTAGTCCAGCATCCTGTTGTTGTTGTTTATTAAATGTATATACTGCCCTTCATCAAGAGATTTTGGGTTGGTTCACAGAATAAAATACAAGATAAAACACAAGTAAATAATCAAACCCAAACAACAAAACAAGAAACTCCTCCTTCCCACAGATACATTTAATCTTACAGATTAAGATATTAATCAGCCCAAAGCCTGGTTGAAGAGGAACATTTTCACCAGGCGCCTAAAAATATATAATGAAGGTGCCTGTTCTCACAATGGCCAACCAGATGCATTGTGGGAAACCTTCTTGGTAGTGGTGTCCTCCCTGTGGAACTCCCTCCCATCAGATGTCAAACAGATAAACAGCCACATAACTTTCCAAAGACATCGGAAGGCAGCCTGGCATCAGGAAATTTTTAATGTTTGAAGTTTTGCTGTGTTTTTGTTATTTTGGAAGCCACCCAGAGTGCTGGGACAACTCAGTCATATGGGCAGGGCATTAATAATAATAATAATAATAATAATAATAATAATAATATACTGCAAGCAAGACCTGAGCACTCTTTCCTACTGTGGTCTCCAGTAGATCATAGCTATCATGACTGGCAGCCTTCAATAGCCCTCTCTTACTTCCCTGTAAACTGATGGTTGTATCGTATCAGGGTTTCCTCCATTGACAGAAGACTCTGACCCAGCAGAGCCTTCCATCAGCAGAACGGGGATTGAGATGACCATTGGCAATTCTTCCTCCCCTTCAACTCTCTTTACCACCATCGCTACCAACCTTCCAGAGTGGTGAGAAGGGATTTCATAAGGTTTCAGCAGTCCCCATCCCACTGATGAACAGCATCCTTTGTTGGCTCAAAGAACATTCCCAAAGCCGAGGGACACAATTGGTTATAGCCCATTTCCCGCTGCACGTCCAGTTTAGAGATGAATTGCTGTTAGTTCTGTTTGTCGACTGGCCTTGCAAAAGCATGTGGGCTATGGTAAGTATGCAACACAAGGTGCAGAAGCTTGACATTCCAGTAGATTTCTCTGAGGAGAAGCTCCTGAAGGCAGTACAGGGCTTGTCTCTGATGATGTGACTATTGTACTCACCAAAATTCCTGCTCTTGTTTGTTAGTAGGGATGGCAAGGGTTTGCCTTTTTTTCAATTAGCCAATGTAACAGATTTCAGGCACACAGGTCTATACATATCATTTACACCATTAACTATCTCAGGGGTCAGCAAACTTTCTCAGGAGGGGGCCGGTCCACTGTCCCTCAGACCTTGTGGGGTCCGGACCCACCCCTCCTGAAAGCACCCCCCTCCCAAAGGCCCCCCCACCAATGCCACTCACACCGCAGCCACCGCCACCGCCTCATCTTTGGCAGCGTTGGCGTCCTCTGTCTCGGCGGGGTGCAGAGCCCATGCCGCTGGTTTTGGTGGCGGAGGCAGCCTCCGACCAGCTGCCACTTCCTTCCCGCTCGGTCGCCTCAGCGGGAAGGAAGGGGCAGCGCCCAGAGGTGTCTGCGGCTTCTGATTGGCTGCAGAAGTCAGTCTCAATGTGGTGAGGCCTCCATGCCACGCCTGTTTAGCACGGGGACTGACTGAGCGGGTGGCAGGGTCCGAAAGGTTTGTGGGCCGGATTAACGAGCCCAGTGGACCATATCCAGCCCACGGGCCTTAGTTTGCTGACCTCTGAACTATCTAAAACAGGGGTAGGAAACATAGTATCATAGAATTGGAGGGCTGGAAGGGAACCTGCGAATCATCTAGTCCAGGAACGTCCAAGTCCCAATAGACTGTGATCTACTCACAGTATAAAAAAACTGGCAGTGATCTACCCATTGTCGTTGGATGGAACAAAATTGTTGAGCTTTTTTGGGAAAGGCAAAGTTGATGAGCTTTTTTAATGGAGCCACAGGTTCCCTCCCTTTTTTTGGGGGGGGGGAGGAGATAACTGAGGAGCCAAAGATCTACCAGGAACACCCTGCAATCTACCAGTAGATCATGATCTAGTCCAATCCCCTGGAATGGAATTGCAGTTGTCCCATACTAGGATCAAACCCGCAATCTTGACATTATCAGCACCATGCTCTAACCAACTGAACTATCCAGGCTCCGGTGCTCTCCAGTTGTTGTTGGGCTCCAACACCCATCCTTCTTGGTCATAATGTCTAATGGTCAGGGATGCTGGGTGTTGTAGTCCAAGTGGGTGGCCTGACATTGGTTACTCCTGAGATAGAGAATGGCTGTAAATTAATCTGGAATTCCTGAGCATTGCAAATCTTTCTATCAAGCACATTTGAAGTTGCATTAACCTGGTGTGACTCCTTTCTCCCTCCCAACTCCTTCCAATCCTAGATTTTATCTGGAAGTTTTTAGAATAAAGTCCCAAGTGTATTTCACCCTATGTGAAACAAGTGTCAATTCATTTGCTAATAGAGGCATAAAAATGGATGAACCAGATTGTAAGGGGAAAGAAAAGATACTTTGAAGTGCAGTTTTGCTCTGAGGAATGATTGGGGGGAAAGCTGCCTTGTAGGGTTCCATCCTTATTGTCCTTGCAATGATTTCAAGATCAGATATGCTCAAGCTGATAAGTAAAATGGTGCTCCTTCTAACAGCTAGCCCAGAAACAAAAACCCTGCTTCACTGTGAGATCTTTCATGAATAAAACACACTTCTTTCAAAATGATTAAAAACAGAAGCTGATAAAGGGTTGTGGGAAATATTTTCAAAGGCAATGAGGGAACTGAGTGACAATGAAAAGGTTAGACGCCCACGTGCCGTTTGTACTTTGTTTCTTTTTTCTTTCTTTTTAAATTAACTATTTATTGAATTTCTAAATGGAATTAAAATCATAGTTATACTGCTTTGAGAAATGCCTGCTTGTTGGGATTCTGTACAATCTTTTGGTGGGATACAGCAAGTCAGATGGAAACCCTCACCACCTGCAGTGGGGATGGAAACTGATCTCCAACAATTCTCCTCTCAAAGTGCAGCCCTCATCCCAGATGTCCCAACCATCAGAAATTGAATTTTCTGTGAATGCAAGGAGTGAAGAGGCAAGGCAGACCTGTTAAATGAGCAAAACAGCAAAAAAATTGCTGGATCCAAAGCTTTTTATTGGAGATCTGTCTGTTGGAGAAGTGATTTATGAATTCTGGGCACCAAAAATGAAGCGTGACGGTCTGTGGGATGACCAGACTCAACTTCATCATTTGAGCAGTCTTTCCATTACACATCTTGCCTCATTTTGTCACACATTTACATATTGTGATATGACAGCAGGCTAGGAATACCTTTTCTTAGGCTGACTACATGTTAATAGTTCAGAAGAGTTGCTAAATTTTTCACTAGTGGGAGCTAATGGTTGAGAGGTATCTGAAGATCTTTATTGAGTGATAGGCTGTGTATACATGACGTTTTATTCTAGAATCAATACTATGTACTTGTTTTTATTATGTAAGGCACACACAATCTAGATCTATTGCATTTTTTTGGGGGGGGTTGCCTCTGAAAAGTGCTTCCTGAGAAACTGGCTTCATTCTGCCAATAAAAGTTCATTGTAGATTGATTTAGCATCACCCCACAGAATGTCCATTTAAAAACAGAAAAAAGAGATGTAACGGGCAGGGAAATTACTGCAATTTGTTATACATAGGACTTTCTCTGAAGATGGTTTGGAAACTTCAGCTAGTGCAGAATTTGGAGGCCAGGTTGCTCACAGGGGCAAGATGGCAGTGGCGTAGCACAGGGGCGGTTGCCCCAGGAACAAAATTGTTAGTGCAAAATTGTTAGTGCAAAATTTCAACAGCTGGTGCTGCCTCAATACAGCTGTGCACTTTCATCGTTGGAAACAGCTTCTCCATGCAAAAGAGGAAGTAATCTCTCCAGACAACGGAACAACTCTTCTTTTTTATCTCTGTGGCTGCTAATGCGGACACCATTAGGCAGTTGAATGCACATGCATACTTTGTCCATTTCCCTCCCTCCCACCAATCCCTCAGCATGGTCCTGGGTGCTGACAACCCATGCTATGCCACTGCAAAACGTTTTGAGCATATTACATTGAACCTGGCCTGACTGCACTGGCTGCCAACTAGTTTCCAGGCCCAATTCAAAGTTCTGGTCTTGACCTATAAAGCCTTAAAAGGCTAAGGACTGACTTCCGGGGTGGCACCACCGGCAATGGCGGACTCCCTCTGAACTGGAGGGACTAGCTCCGTGGAAAATGGGTCTTCTCTGCTACGGCGAAGCGGGGACCCACTTAAAAATCACAGGCGGATGAAGCCTGTGACCATGGGACTCGGCGGGCACCTTTAGCGCCCCCCCCAACCCGCTAAGGAACCCACTAACGGGCTCCGAAGTGAGGGGGAAGTGGCGCGGTGCTGTGAGTCAACTGCTATTTCCATGGAGCGAAGCCGCATAGCTGTTGCCGGAGAGCGCTGCCTTTTTCCTGGGACAATTTGGACTTTAAAATAAGCACCCGTGAGTACTTAGACTTTGAACAATTGGACATCAAATAAGGACTTGCGAGTAGAAAAGAATCGGACTTTAAAAATTTACTTGAATTTGGTACGGAACGGGAAGGTCTAAACAGGAAGTCATCCTTCCGTTCTTTTGTAAACAGAATAAAGCAAAGGCAATTTAAACTAGAGCTCAGAAAATCGCTTTTAAAAGATTGGATTTCACCATTTAAAATTGTGGAAACCCCCTTCGACAGCAGGAGAAGGGGGGGGATCTTTTTGGACTGTTTAAAGTGACTTTAAAGTGACTTTAAAGTGAAGTAACTTTCCTCCGTCCTGATCCTGGAGCGGGCTGTCAGGACTGACGTGTGAAGTTCATTAACCAAAGACAAGCTCTAGTTTACATTGCCTTTGCTTTATTCTGTTTACAAAAGAACGGAACAATTACATGAGAAGGTGAATTGGATGGCGACTTCGACTAGAAACTTTGAACAGGCAGTGGGAAATTTTGAACAGACAGTGGGAAAATATGTGGAGCCCACTCAGGATTTAAATCAGGAGTGTGTCTTGACAGAACAGGAGTTTTTGACATTAAATCAGGAGTGTGTTTTGACAGAACAGGCCCAACAGGAATATGATTTTTGGATTTGACAAATGAACTTGGAAAAGCCATATCTGGAAAGGAAAAGTTTGGCTTGGTTTGGAAATGGGGGGCTGGATTGACCCCCCTATGCTGGGATGTTTGGACTTTTCAAATATGGCAACGGGCCGTGAGATGTTTGGGACTGTGGGGCCTCTCAATTTTGGAGGGCCTTTGAAACATGCTTTTAAATACTACATGGAATTCATTGTTGAACATGGAAAAGGGGCTGATCTGTTGAGAAGGGTTAAAAACATTGTCAAGCTGGAGTTACCACGAGCAAGAGACAAGGGAAAATACAGTTACAAATATGAAGAAGAGCCGCGGAAGGGTCATGGAAGAGACTTGAGGGCCTCGGACATAAGGTTGCCAGGTTAATGGGCTAGATTGACGGGAATAAGGACTGACAAAACCCGGAACCAGGAGGAAGGGACGCTGGATGAAGATTGGATCTGTTTATACTTCTTTTTTCTACTATTAGAACTGTTTTATAAAATTGATGAATGATAGGAAAATGTTGGAATGAAAATACTTGGCTTTAGCAAAGATGTTTAAAGAATTATGAAAGAATATTATGATTATGAGAAGTTGGTAAGGATAAGATTTAAGTTTTAAGTGTTAAGGTTTATTTTATTATAGAAAGATAAGGTCAAGGATTTGCTGGGATAATTAATAACTAGGATACAAAGAAAGGGAGGAGGAGGAGGTCTAAGAAAGAAGGTAATGACAGTTAAGGATTTGAAAATAATGAATTTGTTTTTAAATGTTTTTAAAGTTTTGTGATTTTTGCATTCTTCTTTTTTTTCTTTTTTTCTGTCATTTTTTTCTCATTTGGAATTTTTTCTTATATGGTGGGAAGGGGTTGGTTTTTTTCCCCTTTCCCCCCCCTACTTTGTTAACTATTTTTATTCTTTGTACTCTCTTCTGCTTCTATTTTTTTTATTTTTTGTAACATTTTGAAAATCTCAATAAATATCTTTTAAAAAAATAAAATAGAAGGCTAAGGACTGCAGTACTTCAAGCACTTCCTCTCCCATATGGACTGACTCAGAACCTGGGAGCATCCTCTGAGGCCCTTCTTCGTGTGTCACCTCCGTAAGAGGTCTGTAGGGTGGCAACAGGGGAATGGACCTTTTCTACAGTGGCTCCCCAGAAAGGTTCCCCTGGCACCTTCATTATACACCTTTAGCCGCTAGGCAGAAACTTTCCTCTTCAACCAGTTTGTCTGACTGACATCTGATGCCCTTTTAAATGTGCTATGGGAGGTGGGATTATATCTTTGTTGTTCTTATTTTTACTATGTATTTTGAGGTTTTTATATTGTAATTCTATGTTGTGAACTGCCCTGAGATCTGTGGATGAAGGGTGGTATACAAATTTACAAATTAATAATAATAATTTTTAATATCCAACCAGCCCAAGGATGTTGTAAGTCCCGAGGATCAGATAGAGAGGTCTAAAGGACAACATTGCTCCTCCCTCACTCCCTCAGGCCTGAGGTTCCTAACCTCACGCATTGTCTGAATAAGAAACAGAGAGAGCTAGCTGAAGACTGAATGTTGGGCAGGACCCAGCAGACCAGGATGAATCTCAACCCACCATTTTCTATAGGGCTTGAATGTCTGCTTAAGACTTGGTCCACCTTGAATGAAGAAGCAGAAATTAACAGTTATGCTTTGAGGTTTTTCTCTGTTCCTGGAAACAAGTGTGGTTTATTCATGTGTGTGTTGTGGTTTGAGATTTATATTTGTTGGAACCCAGTCATGTAGGCAATGTAAAAATATACTAACACTAATACAGTGGTACCTCTGGTTACAGACGCTTCAGGTTACAGACGCTTCAGGTTACAGACTCCGCTAACCCAGAAATAGTACCTCGGGTTAAGAACTTTGCTTCAGGATGAGAACAGAAATCGTGCGGCGGCAGCGGGAGGCCCCATTAGCTAAAGTGGTACCTCAGGTTAAGAACAGTTTCAGGTTAAGAACTGAGCTCCAGAACGAATTAAGTTCTTAACCCGAGGTACCACAGTACTAATACTACTAATACTAATACTAATACTAATACTAATACTGCCTTGGGGTGGGCAGTGGGCAGAGGAGTGCACATTTATTTGTTGCCTAACTTAAAGACTGTCTTTGAAGCTACAGTTGGCCCTTCAAGGTGATGCAAAGATTTAAATATCCAAATTTAGATTTCTAATCATAATAAATAATAAGAAAGATGCTGCTTGCCTCCAGTTATGCTGCAGCCATTGTAAGGAAACCAAACATTACAAAAGCACCCTGTTCTCTCCTCTAAAGGAAGCCAACTCCATATATCACGGGTCCTGGCAGCCTTCACTATTTAGGAAGAGCATAACAATTATATCGCATTGGCTCTCTTATGGCCCAGAGTTGGGCTGTTGTGGAACATATTTCTGCTTTCTGAAAGTAGCTTTCAAGTACAAATAAAAAGTGGGCTTGGGCATTTTGGCACAAAGGAACTGGGAGAAAATCGGGGGGGGGGGGCATAGACGTCAAATGTTTTTTATTCCGTTTCCTGAGGGGCTGAACTGGGTGTTCCGTGGAATGTGTGGTTTCTTTTGAAAGCTTATGGAAATGCCCTCCCTCTCATCTACTAAAATTCAAAACATAGACACAAATCATTTATAGGAGACAAAAAACAATAAGTAGTGTCAGCACAGAGGGCTATATTTTACTTGGCTATGCCATGAGGAATTATGGTGGCTTGCAATGAGTAGAATATAAAGTAACATACGGTGCTTGTTCACAACAGGCTTGGAAATTATAAAATGTAAAATCCAATATATTTTCTTCATGGTGTCAAACAGCTGGGAGTTTTTTATGGCTTCTAGCAGGATGTCATGCCTTTTCTCGTGGACCAATAATTCCAGAAGCACATTTAAGTGCATGCTGTTCTTTATGTGTTTTGATGTGTGTTTTTAAAGTACTTGCAAATTTTAATAGAGTGAGACTCATGCCGATGTAATGATACTTTAAGTGATCAAACTTAGACTTGCTTAGTTAAACAAGTAGCAGCAAGGTATTTAATATAATGCTGAGGATATGGCTTTTAAAGGAAGGTGACAGCAACACTGTTGAATGAAGCTGAATGTTGAAAGACTTAGGACAAACAAATGAAGCTGCTTCTCCACACAGTGCATAGTTAAACTAGGGAATCCACTCTCACAAGAAGTAGTGGTGGGCAGCAACTTAGAAGGCTTTCAAAGAGGATTAAATGAATTCATAGAAGATATGCCTTGTTGTTGTTGTTTAGTCGTTTAGTCATGTCCGACTCTTCGTGACCCCATGGACCAGAGCACGCCAGGCACTCCTGTCTTCCACTGCCTCCCGCAGTTTGGTCAAACTCATGCTGGTAGCTTCGAAATCACTGTCCAACCATCTCGTCCTCTGTCGTCCCCTTCTCCTTGTGCCCTCCATCTTTCCCAACATCAGAGTCTTTTCCAGGGAGTCTTTTCTTCTCATGAGGTGGCCAAAGAATTGGAGCCTCAGCTTCAGGATCTGTCCTCCCAATGAGCACTCAGGGCTGTTTTCCTTCAGAATGGACAGGTTTGATCTTCTTGCAGTCCATGGGACTCTAAAGAGTCTCCTCCAGCACCATAATTCAAAAGCATCAATTCTTTGGCGATCAGCCTTCTTTATGGTCCAGCTCTTACTTCCATACATCACCCATCGTTCTACCCGGACACTGAGGTCCAGCACTGAGGGCCTTCTGGCGGTTCCCTCACTGCGAGAAGCCAAGTTACAGGGAACCAGGCAGAGGGCCTTCTCAGTAGTGGCGCCTTCCCTGTGGAACACCCTCCCACCAGATGTCAAAGAGAACAACAACTACCAGGCTTTTAGAAGACATCTGAAGGCAGCCCTGTTTCGGGAAGCTTTTAATGTTTGATGTATTATAGTATTTTAATATTCTTTTGGAAGCCGCCCAGAGTGGCCGGGGAAGCCCAGCCAGATGGGCGGGGTATAAATAATAAATTATTATTATTATTATTATTATTATTATTATTATTATTATCACTACTGGGAAAACCATAGCTTTAACTATACGGACCTTTGTCAGCAAGGTGATGTCCCTGCTTTTTAAGATGCTGTCTAGGTTTGACATTGCTTTTCTCCCAAGAAGCAGGCGTCTTTTAATTTCGTGGCTGCTGTCACCATCTGCAGTGATTATGGAGCCCAAGAAAGTAAAATCTCTCACTGCCCTGTCAGTGGCTAACTAGCCATGATGGCTGTGTTCTGTTTCCACTGTTGGAAATGACATGCTTCTGGATCCCAGTTGATGGGAATCACAAGTGGGCAAACTATTGTGCATATACAGTGGTTCGAACGTCTCCATTGATGAACGTTTTGGTTTTCAAATGCCGAAAACCCGGAAGTAAATGCTTCCATTTTCAAATGTGCCCCGGAAGTCGAAGGGCTTCCACTGAGTGTTTTTCAATTTTCTCAATTCAATTTGCAGACCACCCTTTGTACCTCGGTTTTTGAACGTTTCAGAACTCAAACGGTCTTCTGAAACAGATTACGTCCGGAAACCAAGGTACCACTGTATATATAAATAATTTTTGATGATATGGAAAGAAACAGAGTGGCTTACAGCTAGGAAGCTAAATAACTCTTCCAGGTGACTGATAACTTCTTTGTAAAGGTGTACAGATTCTTTATATTCCAAAATAATTTTACTTTCATAAACATATAACTGAAAAGATATATTTACAATCTCATGCTTTTTCACCTTCTTCCTTATTAAGAGTTCTTGCACAGGTTTCTCCCTATTAACGTTTAGGGATATTTATCTGCCTGCTTCATTTCAGATAGATCACAATGACACCCACTGTCCTCAGCAGTGACCTGAGAAGTCTCTCTCAGCAACTATTCTTCCTCACACCCACAGAGAGAAGAAGCAGAAAGAAGTTAAAAATGAGTTACTGGAATAACATCTTCTAAAAGTTCTGTTCTTACCACATATTCCAATTCATTCCCAGATCTCTCTTCTGAAAGGCATGGGAATTTGACAAATTTCTGTGTGGAAACAGATATTTTCTTAGAAATATCTACTATCCCCAAGAAATACTGTATCTAAATCTTGTTTTTGAACTTGGCTGATCTTCATGCATTTCACCTCAAACACAAACTGGGGTGCTGGTAGGGACTGATATTGAATCCTCAATAAAACCAGAAGATCTTAAATCATCTTATCTTTACAGGATCATGACCACGTAGACATTTTAAAATGCCACCTCCAAATTAGTTTTCCTGCTTCTCATCCTGTTAATGCTATTCAGTTCCATATTATCAACGTTTGTTAACATTGCAACATGTTAGTAATAAATAGTTATCAGTTGTGCTTATGCAAGGAGATATGTCATTATATCCGTCTGTAAATAATATTCCTTTTTTTCTACTGCTCATCTGGCTTGACTGCAAATATTAATTTATCCAAATCCTATAGTTTAGGGAAATCATTCTTATTGATTTCTCTGACAGAGTGTACAGCTCATTCTGAAGCATTTTATACCCTTGTCTGACCTGGATATAGAAAACACTGTCTTGCCTTCAAGATTTCTCTTCTCTTGCTTGTCATTTCTGTCCAGACTCTGTATTATCTGAGTTATGAAATGCTATAGACTGATAGATATCGGCAAGTCTTGATTAAAATTCATTCCACATAGCTTGCTGGCTGCCTCAAAGGAGCAAAGGTCCTAAGAACTGAAAATCCAAGTTATTTTTTGAAGTGTTAAGCATGAAAAACAGGTCTTTGTTTGATACACACATCTGAGTTTCTTTCTTTCTCTCACTCTTCATTCTGACCCAACAACTGGCCACTGTTGAGAACCTGCAATGCCTGAGTTGTGGTTTTGTCATCTCTAGATACTGCTGACAGTTAAACTACTGTATGACAAGCGCAGCTTACCACCAAATTTCTGAAACTTGCAAAGAAGCAAGGCATCATAGCTTGTGACACAGGCAGTTGATTTCCCACATCACTCCATTTTTTTCATTTTCTGAAAGAACCAGCCTCATTTTTAATGCAGCTTGTGCCTTTTCCGTGTCACTCCTTGTCCTCTCCATTTCCAATCATCTGCAGCACGTACTTTCACCCCCTTCCTCATTTTGACTGGCAGGTAAAAGCATCAAGACAGATCTATCTTGTAGACATTTGGCTTATAAAATGGTAATGAAAAGAGCCAATGCAATCTGGTGGGAAGACTATTAGAGTCGGACCAGGGTTCACATTGAGGCTCAATCATGAAACACTCTAGGAACCATTGAACTAGCCTCAACATAACCTCTCTCACAGGAGTTTTGTCGGAACAAATGGGACAACCTTAAGAGAGGGATAACTTAGAGGACATCCACACCATACATTTAAAGTACCTGGCTCCCCCCCCCCATCCACATAATCCTGGAAACTGTAGTTTACCCTTCACAGAGCTATGATTCCCAGTCCTCTTAAGACACCACAGTCCCCAGGATTTGGGGCAGGGAAGCAATGTCCTTTAAATGAGCTTTAAATGGATGGTGTAGATATTATCCTATATAGCTCTGGCTACATAAGTATTCAGAATTAGAAAAATGACAAAGGTAACAGAGATACAGCACTCCTCTCTACCCCCAACCCATGATAATTCTACTCAGTGATAAAATACCGGAATTGGAATGTGTTATCTAGGAGCACATTATACACCAGTGTATTTCCAATAACTACTTTTCTTGAAAGCATGCGATGTTGTTTTGCCAAGTGTCTTACATATCGTTGTGAGCTGGGGGCTGGTTTAGTTTTGGTTAAATGCTGGTGGAGGACCACTTCCCCATCTCTTCCTACCATTCAGCATTGGACCATTTTGCTTCTGATCTCTCACCATGGCAGCACCTCTTGACCAAGCTATTGGTTTGCTGGTTGTCACCTTCCAAAAATACACTAGCAAGGATGGCGATAAGAACAGTCTAAGTAAGAAGGAGTTGAAGGAGTTGATACAGAAAGAGCTGACCATTGGATCAAAACTGCAGGACGCAGAGATACAGACATTAATGAAATATCTGGACTGCAATGGAGACGAAGTCGTGAACTTCCAGGAAGACGTCACTTTCCTGGGTGCCATGGCAATGATGTACAATGAAGCTTTGTGTTTGTAAATGTACACCCTGGTGGGACGAGGTGTCATGGTTCGGGATTATACCTCTGTAGGCGGTTTCCTGTCCAATAAAATTTAAGTTTTGTAAAAAAGAAAAAAAAAGGAAGCCAATGGAGGATTCCATGGTTGAACTAGCGTTTGTGAGATAGTACCACCTAAGCACGGCCATTGTACAACAAAGGAACTTGCTCTGTGCCAGAGACCAAATGGGCTGGCCCCCTCTTCACCTGGTAGGTAGTGAGAAAGACAAAAGCCAGAGTTAAGTGTGAGACTGGGCCTAGGAGCCGGCAGAAGCCAGAGAGTGAGAGCCATGCTTGATTTCTTCTGGAATCCAAGGAGGTGGCTATGGGAGAAGCAAGACTTTCTGGGGTGTTAATGCTGCGAATCCCTGCGCCATAAACTCAGGTGGAAGATATGTGTAAATAAACCATATAGCATAAAGACACCACAGTCTCCACTGTGCCTCATTCCAAAGAAACTGAACCCTGGGAAAGAGCCTGGAACCTATGGAATCTCACACCACTCAGAGATTGGGCTAGTGTGCAACAACATTCAGTGTCGGAAGAGATAGGGGGAAAAGTCATGTTTCCTTTTTAGCCCAAAATAACACAACCATAGACACTGGGATGGGAACAGTGAAGGACAAATTGATGTAACATCTATGTTAAATCATGTTCATATTTGCCATGTAAGAAGCATTCACTTAATTGGCACGCAAAATGTTGTGTTCAAACCTGCCTGTGAATCCTGTCATAATGACTTGGCTCTCTAGAGGAAGCTCAAGCAGGTTTTGCTTGACAGAACACAGGCAAGTTTTAAAATACTATAACTTGCTCAAAGGAAACCCAAGGGATGCCAACTGTATCAGAGGGAATATAGATAAGCATGAAGGCTCACTCTTGAATGAGCTTCTCCCCATACCCCTGGTATGGGGAAATTCAGATTGAGGTTGGGAGAAGTGTGGGAAGGCAGTGATTTGGAGACGAACAACATTTGGACACCATAGAATTAAGGGCGGTACAAGAAGCTTACTTTCCAATTTAAATGACATAATGGATGAACCCTGAGTCTTGTAGGCTATGATGCTGTATGTGTGCCTTCGTTTCCACTGTTTCTATTGATTAAGAAGGTGTACATGCCTATCTAAAATCTTCCCAAATGTTGAAGGATCACAGATTGAGCAGAACAACACCTCTACCTCCATCAGGGCAGCATGGTTTTGCCTCCAGAATTCAGCCGCTGGCTTGGTGTAAATGTGGCCCACATATTTTATAATTAAATAACAGCATGGTCTCATGCATGCATACTCAGAAGTAAGCCTCATTGTGTTGAATGGGATTTACTCATATGTAAGTGTACATATAACTGCAACCCAATTTCCTTTTCCTTTTCTTTTCATTTTCCTTCCTTCAGGTTGCCTCATTTCATTACAGCTTTTTGCCATCTGGTCAAAATGTTTCACACTTTTGACAGGAGTGGGAAATATCATAGCTTAGCAGCTGCTTTTCTCTTTGAGGCAGGAAATCCAATTGTACATCACTCTTTGCTTTAATAGTAATTTATTTCCATCTCTAAAAATGGCCATGTTCTATCAGCAGTACAAAAACAACACATAACATTGTAGCACCTATTCAGGGGTCTAAAGATTCTTGTGTCATGGAGGACAGGAAACAACCTTTTTCTCCCCCCCCCTTTTTTTACTACTGGTCATTTTTCACACTTACCTCTGAGTGAATAGGAGACAAACACAGAGTTCTAATTGCACCATAAAAAGGGAATTATTTATAAAAGGGAATGCTGGACCCCATGGACTGTGAACCATTGACACACATCCCATAAAACAAATCAAATTAATTTAACAAGTCCAAGGGGAGCTATTAATTTTATTTAGAGTGGGGTTTGATGGTGAGAAGGGGAAAGGAATCTTGCCCAGATTGAAACTGTCCCTAAATCACATTAAGTACACATAAGCAATACTCTAGAAGAGTAGTTGTACTAGCCACTTTTAGCCAGCAATTGGGGGGGGGGATCCTGTGGTACTTTTAAGAGCAGCAAATTTATTGTGACATGATTTTCATCTGCTGGGGGCCATTTTGATAGATGCGTGAAATATCCTAGAAACTGTTAGGCAAACGTGTATGGGGACAAATTTGGTTCCTGGTGGGGAACCTCCAATCTGTTGGCCTAATTAGACCAGATAATGGTTCTAATCTGTTTTGACAAACTGTTTATCCCAAACCCTGTCCATCTGCCCTGCACGTGACATCAGATGTGGGGCACATAAGCTGTGGCTGCAAATGATTAAATGGAAGCCTTAAAGTGTGCTCTCCATTGTTTATTGGGCAAGTGGGTCTTGTAGTTGACACCTTAGAGCATAAGAAGGCCCAATGGCCCATCTAGTCCAGATCTGGAGTCAGATGCAAGCCACATTGAGATTGGTTCCACTCAGGAGCTCACACTGGGTTTTTAGAGGAATACTTCCTTTAATCCTAGTGCTGCGCTAATGAATAGTAGCCGCTGAAAGCTTTATTGTTCATGAATGTTTCTAACCTCATTTTGAAGCCACCTAAGGCTACCTAATCCTGACACTTACCTGGGTGTACGTCCTATTGAACTCTGTAGGGCTTAGTCCTGAATAATATATAGGATTACACTACAAACTGGCGGCCATAATAACAACTTATTTTTCTAGGAATTTGTTGGCTATCTATTCTGTATAACTGTACATGGTGCCTGATGCTTAAATCTTTTCCATTTTGCTTCTTAAAAAAATAAGTAGTAGTTGTTGTTTGCATTTTTCAGAGCACAGAGAGGTTTACTTCTTTGACTTTTCAACAAGTGTGTTCCTTGTTATATATGAGGAAACCCTAGACTGCATTTGAAAGTAAAGGGTGTTTTTTTTTAGCGCAACTACCATATGGATATAAGGCTTTAGGCAAAAGACAAGATGGTACCCTCCCCACTACGAATCTATATACAGAAACTGACTGGCTGGTCTTGTATTGATATCTAGAGATAAGAGCTTCCCACAATATTTTTCTTTAGCTTGTGTAGTGTTCTATTTAATTTTTTTTAACATAATATTTTATTTATGTAACAATAAAATAACATTGTTCAATTCTAACAAAACCTATACAGCGTAACATGCTTATTTCAGTCACATATAAGAACAGCAGTGAGAGATCACACTGTCAAATAACTGAATATTTCAACAATCCATTGCATAGCTCAGGGGTCAGCAACCTTTTTCAGCAGTGGGCTGGTCCACCATCCCTCAGACCATGTGGTGGGCTGGACTATATTTTGAAGAAAAAAAAATGAACGAATTCCTATGCCCCACAAATAACTCAGAGATGCATTCTAAATAAAAGGACACATTCTACTCATGTAAAAACACGCTGATTCCTGGACCGTCTGCGGGCCGGATGGAGAAGGTGATTGGGCCGCATCTGGCCCCCGGGCCTTAGGTTGCCAACCCCTGGCATAGCTTCTCCATAAGTAAGCATGAATGGCTGGTAGTCATTAACATCTCCTCTGTTTACATAGTTGATATATGGGGACCATACCTTATGAAAATTATTACGTTTCGTTTGGTCTCTGTCAACCCTTCTGTGTTGTGTTCAATGCTCAGAAAGAGCGAGATCCCAAACATTCCCTTGCCATCCTGTCGGAGATGATGCTTTGGAGTCTTTCCAGTGGAAGATGATCTCTAAACAAGCAGCGGTGATAAGCATAGGACTGTTTAGTGTTGCACATAGATATTTAATCTTTTAAGAAAACACTTATATATGCATAAGGGATTGAGAAGGCAAATCCTTTCTCCCTAGGTGTAGTGCTTCAAAGGTCAAGTTGATGGTGTATATATAGTCCTCTACTAACATTGCAAGATATATTCATTTTCCTTTGCTCAAAAACACCTCTCGCTCCAAGCCCTGTGCTCTCAGAAATTTACCGTATTTTTCCATGTATAATACATCCCGTGTATAAGACGCCCCCTATTTTGGGGGACTCAAAATTAAGAAAATGGGGGGGAGATTGCCCCCGTGTATAAGACTACCCCCCTATTTTTAAGTAAAAACACCTAGTCTTATACACGGAAAAGTATGGTATGTATCTTTTTGAAATCAGAGATTTAAACATTGGGTTGGACAGTGCCCAAATCTTGGAAACTGATTAAAGTTTAATTGTAGGGGGAAGATGGGAATTAATAAAAACTCAGCTGTGTTTCTTGATCTGCTCCCCCTCCCCTAGACTTTTACTTGGGTTGGGGATAAAAGGAAGCAATCATTCTGTAACTATGTAATTAATTTAAATATCTGAATAACTTAGCATTCATGAATGTAGCACTTTTTTCATTTTCTGTCTCAGTATTGCCTCATAAAATGAGCAAAGCCTGTTTATCTGATAGTTTCAGGATTATTATTGCTGCTGGAGACAGAATTGTGAGGCAGAGCTGATACCGTCATTTGCATGCTAGTATTTTACATGGGTGGATAAAGGCATTTTGATTTCTAATGAAAATTCAGCTGATAATGATCTTGGATTGGTTTGATTTACATGGATGATGATGTCTTCATTAGTTGGAGCAAATGATTAATCTTTCTTTACCAGAGCTGCTTGTGAGCTTCCCCCCCAATGTGGCATTTTAATTTTCAGGTTGACAACCAGTCAGAAAGGATCTATTACACATGATCAAAGCTTGTGCTAGATAGTTTTTGCCTTTGGATGACAAACAGAACATTCCTCAAGTCGAGGAAAGGTTATTTGTTCTTTAATCTGCACGGGTTTTCAACTCCTCTGCACACAGCATTCCATTTGTTTGACATGCATCTAGTTCTTTGTTAGCGAATTTATCTATTTAACCATTTTGTTAGGCATAAGCAGAGGAACATCTTGAAGCGGAATTCGTGTTTCACAATGTAATAGAGGCTTATGGGGCTCCTAGGAAGGGGTGTCTCTAGTCTGTGTTGGGGCAGTATTCCATTAAATTCAATGAGAATATAAAGGTCCTATTACATCCAGAAAGACTCATTCATAATCTCTTAATTATTTTTGAAAGTATTGTTGAGATTTGGGGATATATCTGGACTATATTATCTATGTTAATAGACATTTCCTTGAATTTTCTTTTGATGGTGCATACAGGGCAGGGCCAGCCCATTTTAGTACTTGAGGTGAACCACTTGATGGTGCCCCCCCTCCACACCAGGAAAGAAGGGGTGGATGAAGATCAGCATCAGGAAGAAGTGAGGAGTAAAGATCTACATTGGGATCTGCTGCCCTTGTAAGATCCTTACTTTGCCTCATGGCCCTAGTACAGAGATACCAACAGAGTTTTCTGGTCCTAGTGTACTGTAGGTAGACTGGGCACTCTGCTGCAGAATCTGCAGAAAATAATTTATAGGGAGTACCTGTTGGGATTCCATTCCACCTTTTGCTGCAGATATGTGGATTGTTGCATGTCACATGTCCGTTTACATTCCAGCACAGATTTGCTGGCGTGAGCGGAACTTCCGCTCTGTATTGCTTTTGCTTTTAGTCTCTCTCCGAGAAGACGGCAAGGAGAGATGTCATGTTTTCTTTGTCCTGATTTATGTATAATAAATGCGTAGTTTAGTATGTGTCTACAGCCTCAAGCCTCTTCTTTTGCACAGTTTACACTGCTGAGTAAAGTGTACTCATCTGCAAGCTTGAGTCACTGATCTATGTCAGAGCAGAGGTCGATGGATCTCCGCAGCGGCAAGGCTGAGAGGGAGACGCTCCAGCAGGGGCCGAACCAGCTGGCTTCACGACCCCCCGATTCCAACAGTACCTGATCTCAAATGAAGGAGGAGGAAAGGACAGCTCTTTAGGACCACAGAGATTCCTAGTCATTTGTTAATCAGAAATGGCTCAAGAGATTAAGATTTGCCTGCACATTTTGCTTTGTAACTTTTATATAGGAGTCCAACTAACTCCTTTTTTTGAAAGAAAGAAAACTATGAGTCTGGGGGCCTCATTGGCTATGGACCAAACTACAGTTTTCTTACTGTGAAACATATAGCTACATCTTAGATTTGTGCTATCTTACAGGTACAGAGGATCATTTCAGCATTTCAGTAAAAGATAAAAGGTAAAGGACCCCTGGACGGTTAAGTCCAGACAAAGGCGACTATGGGGTTGCTGCACTTATCTCTCTTTCAGGCCGAGGGAGCCAGCGTTTGTCCACAGACCACTTTTCGGGTCATGGGGCCAGAATGTGCGGAAACGCTGTCTACCTTCCTGCCACGGCGGTACCTATTCAGCTACTTGCACTGGTGTGATTTTGAACTGCTAGGTTGGCAGGAGCTGGGACAGAGCAATGGGAGCTCACCCCGTCATGGGGATTTGAACCATCGACCTTCTGATCAGCAAGCCCTCTGCTTATACCAATTTATCTCACAATGAGATAAGTTATGTTTACATCAGTGCCAAAATGTGGCTAACGTCCTTACCTCCTCTGCACCATGGTGAAAGATATCAATGCTAAATGGCACTTTTAAATTTCCAATGAACCTCTGTGGAGTGTGGCACTTCCAAAAGAGTTGCTTGTGTGTTCACGGGTCACTGTTTAGTGAGAGAGCATCTGCTTCACACACACAAGGTCTCAGGATCAATCTCTGGCTTCTGTAAGTAAGGGCTGCCTGAAATCCTGGAGAGTCACTGCCAGCCACTGAATAATAGAATCATAGAGTTGAAAGGGGACATGAGGGTCATCTAGTCCAACCCCCTGCAATGCAAGAATCTTTTGCCCAACATGGGGCAATACTCAGTGTAGACAATATTGAACTGGATGACTATATACTTGGGTGCACACGGATAAGACAACCTTTAATAATGGCTAGCAGGCTTAAAAATGGTTGTTGTTGTTGTTTTTAAATAGTAATAGTTGGCATATTCTAGAGGTGTATCAAGTAAGCAAAGACAATTATACAATCCCATACACATGGGTGTGTTTGCGTTCCAATTTGGACACAAATATATTGTGCTTTGGGCAATGTGCCTCCGGTTTAGTTTTCATTCTGAGTCTCTTTACCAGTTTTTGGAAAGCCTTCCCAACGCAAATGGCCACCCAGGTATGAAAACAATGAAACAAACCTGGATGAACTATGCACATAGAGTGGATTCCAAACAGGCTCAGATGCCCTGAAGCAACCAGCAACCATTCCATTTGGATGTGTGCCATTGCACAGAGTTTGAGAAACTCTATCAGCAGGAAATGAACTGGAAAATTTCTAAACAACTGCTCTGAAGGCATTTGATCTATGATGGCATGCATGCAGGCCTCAAGGAGAGAAGTTTAACACTGGGAAATTACCCTTTGTGTAACAGGATGTCAGGGGGGCCAACTGGCCTAGGACAGACCAACACTTTTCATCTTGATTGCAGTATGTGGGCTTGACAAGGCATGTGATCCTCACCTCCTCCTCAAGCTAGTGAGCCCCACCTGGGCTGTGGATCCTTGCTTGCCTTAGCCTCCTAGAGCGTTCCTCCTACTGCTCCCTATGCCTCAGAGCCCACCTTGTTGTGGCCTGAAACCAGTGGCTGTGAGGCCTGGCAGACCACAGTTACAACATCCTGAAGAAGAAAGGCTTGAGGGAGACCCTGTTGCTGTGCTTATTTTTTGGCAAAAATATCCCAATGGAATATTTGCTACACTTTTGCAAATCATTTTAATCAGAAACATTTATTCACATCTCCCTCACAGTAAACACTCCTTTAAAGGTGAGATGCTAGAGTGGCCGGACATGTGTGGCCAACAACCATAACCATAACTTCAAGGGCAACTACTGTAATGCCATCTGACTCTCCTTGAAAATGGCAGGGAAGTAGAGTTGTTGCTGGAATGTTGGTGGGCGCTGATGTTTATTGGCCCTGGTTCTATGACTCTGTCAACCGCTTTGAGATGCAGATATTACCCGTTTAGTTAGGCTTAGTTAGGGTTGTCATACGTCCGGAATTTCCCGTCCTAGCTGGCAACTGGCTGTCGGAAACAGTGTCTGGGTGGAAATTGCTGAAATGTCTGGGAAAATCTGGATGTATGGTAACCCCTGTCAGCAGTGTCTTTTTTGGCGATTTCCCTTAAAAATAGCTCAAAAATTTCATTTTTTGTTGTTGAGCTTTTGCAAAAATAATAAAAAAAATTGTGCAGTGTGGGTACTGAGCTCCCAAAACAATTTTTTGTGGGTGCTCAGGCACCCACAAACCCACTTTAGTTGGCGTCCCTGCAGGAGGTTATTAACATGAAGAAAGGATAGAGCCACATATATGATTTTGGTATAGCTCCCTTGTGCTTTTGGTACAAAATGCAAAAAATTCGGTTTTTACAGTGGGGTGCTACATTTTCTATCCCACAAAGAACACTTTTTGATACATGCACAATTCCAGATTTGCTACTTCATTTTTAAACACGCAGTTTGTGTGGGCTGATTCAATGAAGCCTAAAAGGACAGGTATAATCCCTGATGCAGATCATTAGATATGTCTGTCCTCAGCTGCTTGGCTTGGCTGGCTCAGCTCACAGATGACGCGGGAGAGAAGTTGGCACTGGCTGAGCTCCTCTTTAGCTGGAGTGGCTTACTGTGAAAGCAAAATCAACGGGGTGGATCTGTTAGTCATTCTTCCAATATGAAGCAGATGAAAAACAAAGTGGCTGAAGCTGGACTGACACCATCAGATGGTGAGTCGTGGTTTTATTCGGGGCCTACAGATGTTTTTCTCAGCAAAAAGAAAGCACAGGGAATGTGTGTTGTCTATGATATTTGTCTACGTAGTGGCCAGTGAGGTGGAGTGATCTTGCTCACTTGGCTCCAAGAGGTCACTGTCAATAACTGCGCGGGGTGGGCACAGGGGTGGGCCCAATCCACTTCTCTCTCTGCAGCACACAGCAGCCGGAGTGGTGGATTGGCAGCACAAGTACACCGCGCCAACCTGCTTCCTGCCTCACCCCACTCCCTCTCTGTTACCAGTAGTGATCACCATGTTCGGAAGCCAAGTGAGCAACACCACCCTGCCAGCTGCTACTGGAAGTCCAAGTTCAAAATGGCTGCAGTTCTAATACTCATTCCCCTAGGCTGCAATCCTTTACTCACTTAACTGGGTTGTATAAACACCGACAACTGGGAAACACTGGCCTACGAGTGCTCCGATTGGAGAACAGTCTTTAACAAACGTGTCATGGACTTTGAAGACGCTCAAACTCAGGATGAAAGGGAGAAATGTGCTAAGAGGAAGGCATGTTTGGCAAACCCTCACCCTGATCAACTCCTGCCTGGAAACAAATGTCCACACTGTGGAAGGATGTGTGGATCCAGAATTGGCCTCCACAGTAACTTACGGACTCACTGTTAAGACCGTGTTCATGGAAGGATGTGGGGTTTGCCCATTCCGTGTGATTATGTTTGTACGGTGTGTGTGTGTAAATGGTTAATGTAGAAAAAGTTGAGCATAGTGGTTGTGACAGTTAGAGAGAGAGACAGGGATAGAACTGAGAGAGAAGAGTATGACAGTGTGAGATAGTGCCACATCTAGTTAAGGGCGCGCATTTGAGAAACCGTTCAGAACATATTTAAAATTTGTTTGTTCTTCAATAAACTTTAATCTTCGTTGTTGACTTTACAACCTGACTGAGACACAGCATTTCACCAGAAGAAACCTGGTTGGTGGCAGCGGAAGAATAAAGCAGTGGTGTACAGGTCAATAGTCCATGAAATGACCAGGGGCTCTGTATGAACGCCACAAAGACAATCTTACTTGGCTACGAGTGATCGTCAAAGAAGAAGAAGATTAACTGGATGATGATGATGATATTTAATTTATGAATTGCTCGCATGAGACATCCCAAACTGGATGTTATCCCAAGTGAAACCAACATAACTTCTGAGTCGACATGTCTAGGATTGCATGGTTAGTGGGCAAATGCATGAAATGTATATTTACCTGGCTGAGTAGGGATTTGAACCCTGGTTTCCCAGGTCCTAGTCCAACACTCTAACCACTAACACCACACTGGCTAATACATACCCACACCCCATAGTCATTGGTGTATGTTCCAAACTCTTGCTATTCGGCTAAGTAGATATCATTCTATTTTTCTCTCTTATCCCCCTTTTACTTGCTCCCTTCCCAACCCCTGTGTACATTCCTGATCTTTTGAAGAATATGGTTTCAAAAAGCTTTTATTTGAAAGGTGAATTAAGCCAGCTGAAATATCAATTCAGCTCATCAAACCTTTTCCTTGTTCGGATAAAAGCTGTGTGTATGATCTTTAAATGTTACAGCTATTGTCGAACACAAAGAGAAAAGTATGAGAGAGTTTCTTCTTTTGTTCCCGATGTCTATTTGTCAGTGGCTTTAAGAACAGACAATGGCTTAATTTAGGTTGGATTTGGCAGCTGCTGCCTTTTGGGAAAGCCCTTAGAACAAATAGGTGTGCAAAATGCAAAAAAATGTGACAAGAAAGCAGTTTGCATTTTAACTCCTTGTTCTCCTAGCTGTCATACGTTTCCATTTTTGTAAGGGAAATTCCCTTATTCTGAATAGGATTCCTCGCAAGAAAAGGGAAAAGTTGACAGCTATGAAGATGCCCTGAATCAATTTCATGGTGAATCTTGAGGAAGGTTTGCAGACTGGCTTGGAACCATGTGGGGCCACTTCCAGGCTTACAACCAGGCTGTGTTCACAAGGGAGTGCCATTTTTGTGATTGAACACCTCCACATGGATGGAAGTAGCAGATTTTGTCAGCTGAGCAATACAGAAAAAATATCAGCCACAATATGGAAACCTGAGCAGTCATGATGGTCAGGTCCAAAGATGCAAACCTTGAATATGGCATGTAAAAAGATTGCAGAAACAACATGCAGTTGATGGGAGGTATTTGCCATCGGAATAGAGCCTTACTGCGAAGACTGTGAGTTGGTCAGCATGCACTGATCTACACACATAAAACAAATTTACACATAGGCATCTTCCAAAAACCCATCGTGTTTATGGAAGACAATCTTACTCGGCTACGAGTGATCGCCAGAGAAGAAAGACATAGGCTCAGTTTGTAGATATGTGCAAAGAAACCATATATTATAAAGACACCACAGTCTCCACTGTTACTATGCCAGCATGGTGTAGTGGTTAAGAGCGGTGGACTCATAATCAGGTGAACCGGGTTCGCTTCCCTGCTCCTCCACATGCAACTGCTGGGTGATCTTGGGCTAGTCATACTTCTTTAAAGTCTCTCAGCCCCCCTCACCTCACAGAGTGTTTGTTGTGGGGGAGGAAAGGAAAAGAGATTGTTGGCCACTTTGAGACTTCTTAAGGGAAGTGAAAGGCAGGATATCAAGTCCAAACTCTTCTCTCCTTCTTCTTCCTCCTCCTCCTCCTTCTCTTCTTCTTCTCCTTCTCCTTCTCCTCTCATTCCAAGGAAACTGAATCCTGCATAAGCACCTGGAATGCCTGGGATCTTGTGCCACTTGGAGACAGAGGTGACATGCAACTGTATGAATAACATCATATCTAGGCCTGCCTTTAATTTCTGTATATGTGGAAAAAGTGAAAAAGACTATCTATGGGAACTCTTTTAAAACTTTTTAAAGTTAGATCCTGATTCTTAACAGATACTGTTTGTATCTTTCCTGTGATAAAGCCCACTACTATGAGCATTTCCTACATTTTTATCCTTCTCAATATAGCCATGAACTCCCAAATTGTTGCTAATTTCCCAAGAACAGATCATAGATATAAAAGCCAATCAAATCCAAAACTAGCACGGGGGATGCCTCTCGTTTGTTAGCAATACAAAACAGCAAAGAAAAGCAAACAATGTTATGTGCCTGTTATCTTGTCAAAAATAATTGGCTCATTAATCCTGGCTATACAAATGTAATTATATTACGAAGGTCAAATACAATAATTTACTTCTGAATGCGCTTCATGTTAAGCACAGCCGCACATACATTCTAGTATGAAAATAATCAACAGTAACATTAACACCTTGAGTTATTTGGCTGAAATGATGAGAGATAAAGAGAAACCGAAAAAAGAAAACAAAAAGACCACAATTACTGCACACACATGCGCGTGCATGCACACACACTACAACTATTTGCTCTGTGGTTTTATTTTTGGATTTTAATGAACAGTTGTACCTGTTTTGACTATTATATTTTTGTAACTGGCCCTGGGACCATTTGGTGAAGAATGGGCTATAAGTACACACAATACATTTTTAAAAAATACATAAATAAAACTTTTTTATTCTATGACTTCTATGATTCTATGACTAGATGAGCACTGGCCTGGTCATAGAACTGTAGAGTTGGAAGAGACCCAAGGGTTATCTAGTCCAACCCCTCTGCGATGCAAGAATCTCAGCTACAGCATCCATGACAGATGACCATCCAACCTCTGCTTAAAAACCTCCAAGGAAGGAGAATCCACAACCTCCCAAGGGAGACCATTCCACTCTCCAACAGCTCTTGCTATCAGAAAGTTCTTCCTGATGTTTATCTGGAATCTACTTGGAATATCCTTTCTTGTAACTTGAAGCCATTGGTTCAAGTCCTACCCTCCAGAGCAGGAGAAAACAAGCTTGTTTGCTCTTCCGTGTGACAGCCCTTGAGATATTTGAAGATGGCTCTCATGTCTCCTCTCAGTCTCCTCTTTTCCAGGCTAAACATACCCAGCTCCTTCAACTGTTCCTCATCAGGCTTGGTTTCCAGCGCCTTCATCATCTTGGTTGCTCTCCTCTGCACATGTTCCAGTTTGTCAACATCCTTCTTCAGTTGTGGTGCCCAGATCCAGCATGCTCTGCTTATGTGAACTGAAGTGTAACTTCAAGACCCCTACTCTTTTCTTCTTCTGGTTCTTTTAATCTTTAAACAGGTCTTAGACCAGACAGCCTTTCATACAGGCAATCTCTTCATAGAAATAGCCAGCCAGCCACTGATGGTGTAGTGGTTAAGAGTGGTGGACTTGTAATCTGGTGAACAGGGTTCGCTTCCCCGCTCCTCCACATGCAGCTGCTGGATGCCTTTGGGCTAGTCACACTTCTCTGAAGTCTCTCAGTCCCACTCACCTCACAGAGTGTTTGTTGTGGGGGAGGAAGGGAAAGGAGATTAAAGGAGATTGTTAGCCGCTTTGAGACTCCTTAAGGGGAGTGAAAGGTTGAGTATCAAGTCCAAACACCTCCTCCTCCTCCTCCTCCTCCTCCTCCTCTTCTTCTTCTTCTTCTTCTTCTTCTTCTTCTTCTTCTTCTTCCAGAAGAATGATTTATGTAAAGTAGGACATCTGGCCACTCTAATAAAAGGACTGCAGATTTGCGGGTTAGTCCTATGCAATAAGTCACCCAATTTCTGAGTCGAGATGCCAAACAGTAATAGGTTTCAGAGTTAGTCAGGGGGATTGTTTTATATGAAAATATTATTTTCAAAGAGCAGTTGCCCAGAGCCTGCAAGGGAGATACACAGGAAAAGACAGGCTTATGCATGTAAAACACATGGAATGGCCAATGGACTCCCTAAGAAAATCTGCATGCTCCTTTGGCTGTCAAAGGAAGTCTCCACCCACTCTTAAACTCAGGACTATGGGTTCAAGCCCATTGGGCAAAAGATTCCTGCATTGGAGTGGGGTTGGACTAGATGACCCTCACGGTCCCTTCCAACTGTCCAGTTCTATGATTCTATGACTGAATTAATATCTAGGGCCCTATTTGTTGTGTCCAACTAACCTGCATGTCACCGGAGCCAGATCGCCAGAACAAATTTGTCATCCTGCTTTAAAAACCAATTTTTTAAGAAAAGAAACTTCATGCAAAAGATGCTCTTTTTTCTTATAAGTGCATCCATAATAGTGAATCAACTCCTGCAAAGGCACCGAAGCATAAAAATGAAAGACAATAAATCTGGAGTAAAAAGAACACTATGCAAAGTCAGGCCAGTTTTTTCCTCTCTCTCCCAAAGAGGTATTTTATTCATGGGAAAGAATCTTTCGATTCACTCAAAGCTGATACAAATTTATGGAACCTTGAGCAGTGCTAAAATACCAATCTTTTCAGCTGAAGGACTTAGCTGAAGGTATTGTCTACTATTAAAAAGAAGAAGAAAAAATAAAAGAAGCTGATGATGTCATGGGTCTTCCGTAGCAACAGCTCCTGGAACAATAAAGACTCTATCTGCTTTGGAAACTAGCAAATGTGTTTAGTCTGAAGCAGAGAATTAAGGTCCCACTTGTCGAACCTCAGAAATTTTCAATTTGGTCTCCTTCCAGATTAAAAACAGACCAGCTGAAAAATAAAGTGAACTGGAATAATTTGCCATCAGTTCTTAATATAATGACTGATTTCCCACTCTGTATCCAGTAAGCAGCCAGGCAATGGGTTTGAACTAAGGCCAGGTGGAAGTAGGCCAAGCATGTTAAATTTAAGACCTTTCACAACTCCCTGCAGAAACTGTGCAAATAATGTAGCCAAAGTGCTTTCTATGTACTGTGTAACTGAACTCTTTTGGCATTCTGATGAATTTTGTGCCTTTATTCTGCTGTACTGCGCAGTTTAAGAAATAAACTGAATAGAGCAGCTAATTTTCTCAGTCAAGGAACAGGGCCTAGATGCAAATGTTCCTTTATTCATTTTAATTTTAGATCAGGATCGAAAGTGAAACTGTGGTATCTGTGTGTCATGGGCAAACTGATAGTTAAACATGATTGTTGTTTGCCTAGAAGTTCCTACGACAAGCAATGCAAAACTATAATGAAAATTTAGCTTACAACCACTACCAACACCCGTAACAGAAGACTCTTTCGACACCTTTATGGATACATGGTGTTGGTACATATTCATTTGACATCCAGCCTTCCCGCAGAATATGAATTGCTAAAGAGGCGACTTTTGAGGTTGAATAAGGAAATGAATCTTATCCAATTATTACATGCTTCCCTCATTAGTCATTCCAGATATGGCGCCATTAATGTTGTCAAACTTCCAGTGAAGAAGGGAATGCCAAGACTGACATGCTGGATATTTCATATGCCAACTGAAACCTCAGCCTGCCAGGTGGAACTAATAAGTTAAACAGATAATTACATTGGAAATGGAAATGTTTTAATGACCAATTCAAAACTATCCATCTTCCACTTTGGACTTTATTAAAAATTTGCACTTGAATGGTTGTGGGAAAGTTGAAAGGGGTTGCAGCGTTTTGCTTGGTTTGGGATTTTTCTGTATTCGATTGGGGAGGGAAGGGTAACTAAATCTTACACTACCATTTAATAGGTAGGTGTTTAGCTACAAAGAAGGAAAAGAAAGAAGATCAGTGGGTTGAGGACTGACCAGGTTATTTAGTTAGTGTCAGAACCTGGGAGGTCCACAATTCTGAATGGAATGTAAAGATACATTTTTTATAATAGTGTAGCCAATCTGCAAACAAGCTTAATTCAAATGTTCCTGCCAGTAGCTGCCAGTGGGTCTTGCTGGAAAGAAGGTAAGTCCTTTCTTGGAGGTCATGAAAGGAGAAATCCCAAACTGTGACTGTATGACCCGACCATAATCAAGCAACATGGATTTACCTGAAGAGTCAGTCCAGTGAAATATAGGGATTCTGTGTTCCTCCAAAATAAAATATTTGCATCTCTAGAGAGTCAACTTTAGACACACTCCTATGTGTATTTACTGAGAAATAAGTTCCGTTTAATTCAATAAGCCTGTCTCCCAGATGGGAGGCTGAGTACCAGTTGCAAAGGAAAATTGGGCATCTTCGCTTATGAAAGCTGTGCAGAAGAGATTATCTCAGCAGGTCCAGCTTTTTCAGCACTGCCAAAAGTCTTTCTTAGTATAACCATCAAAAATATAGGATTCCTGTCCTCCTTTGCAGTCAGTCTTGCTCAATGTGCAGCATTTGAGGACAATCTGAAAGCAAATGCGCAGGTTAAATCATCGTCGTTTTGCTGATTTGCTCTTTTCTCACAGAGTGCGAAGCAGCATTAGAAGGGAATGGCTTTCTGTGCTGCAATACTGGATTAATGAAACACATAATTACGATTATTGATTGACGAGTTCAAACCTTCCTGTCTGAGGGTGGGGGACAGGCGGTTGCTTTTCAAGTGCACATGAGATGAACCTGAACTGTGCAACAGGGGACTTTTCATCGTTAGAAGGTTTTAAGCAGAGGCAAGAATGGTCACTGAGCAGGTCTGCTGTAGGAGTTGATTTACTCCATTTGCAGCGGGTTGGGCTAGATGAACTTTGAGGTGCCTTTTATTATTTGCATCTTAGATCTCCCAAGTATAACAACTGTTTTCCCCAATTTTTTATAGTAAACAATGTTTCAAGGGTGCTGTTGAGTGTGCAGCTGCAACATTTTTTCACTTTCAGTATGACTATTTTGCACAGAATTCCTTTTGAAGCATCCCTTTTCAACAACAACAATGACAATCTAGTATTAAGTTCAGGAAATGCCAATTTACACACACACACACACACACACACACACACACACACGTGCTCCTGATACACTCTCCTCTGAAAGACACTGCAGGTATAGGCTTGCAGGCTGCCTATTCTAGTCTTGCTAGCTAGCTGCAGAAAACCTGACCCTGTCATTGCTCAGAACTGCATTTCATGACACAAAGCCAAGCTGTTACTCACCCAGTGTCCTGATTTACATTTCCCAACACCAAAGAAAATGCAGATCATGTTTCAAAGCTATCTAGGCACGCACATTTGTCTAAAGGTTACCTTCAGGTCAAGAACGAAACCTGGCAAAGGGAGGTGGATAAACTTAAAAATAAATTAAGGGTAAGGAAAATTGTGA